AAAAATCTCATCGACCCTTAGAGCCCTGAGGTTTTTGAGAAGGCAGACAACACTGGTCACTGGTTTTATTCGAAAACATTTATTTTTCTCAAGTTTAACAGATTAAAATCAGTAAAACTTGAAATGTTATTTTTTTGTTGAATTGCGTAATAATTAATAATAATTATGTATTATAGCTTTTTCCCAATAATTAACAAAAAGTTACTCCATTAAGAAAGCCCAAATGTCTCTTTTTCTTTCTTAAATTTCCAGGTATGTGGTTTAACTATATTTTGTTTTGAGTGGGAGAACTGTTATTGTTTGAAAATAGTTCAGTAATAGAGATGATACCTTCCAGGTATCACCACACCCCACACCCCCCACCCCATCACAGAGGAACAAAGCACCTACCCGCTCCAGCTGGTGAACAATACCTCCTTAACGACAAACCCTTAACAACCATAGACAGGTTTCAGGTATTACAGGACACAATCCCCCCCTTAACGGCAATCCCCCCGCTTTAATGACCGACCTTCAGAATCATAGATAGGTTTCAGATATTACAGGCTAACGATGGAACTAACGACCCATTCATCGGTTACCATTGCATGTTTCCAAGCGATACAAGTCGTTGTCTATATAAGACTCAAACTCACTGCGGATCCAGACATTTGAATTGAGAAAGCTTCCTGAAGAGGTGGTGAAACATCTTCAAACCTTGGAAACCAAGTCCAGTGGATATTTTTTGAACTTTTACGGAATGACTATGACCTGAATGACTGAGAATCTTCATCAGCATATGGCTAAATTAGGTTGTGAAACCTTTGCTCCGTATAAAGGTCAATAGGAAATGCTGCTGAAGTAGAATGTGCTAAGCTTCATTTTGAAATAAATCACATTTTTGCATTTTGATTTATAGGTGGTGAAATGGTGGAGTCAGAACTACGAGGAATCAAGATTGTGAAATCCCCCTACACAATCCACTTCAAAAGAACACCCAAGTATTTCAAACCAGGGATGTCCTTTGATGTAATGGTAAAGCACAATTTTTTAAGTTTTTTATATAAAAAAAATATTTTTTCAAATTAAACGGACAGTGTGTGACAAAGTGTGTGTCTCAGCAAAGACTCACAGATTACCCTCATCTCAAACACTTCTTCCAGCTCTGCTTGTGGAAATCTGAGGCACTCCCAGGCCGGAGCCAGAGCTCCTCACCCTACCTCTAAGGGAGCGCTCTGCCCCCCTGTGGAGTAATCTCATTTAGCCGCTTGTATATGGGATATTGTTTTCAGTAATGATCCACATTCCGTGACCATAGTTGAGGGTAGGACTGTAGACCAACCAGTAGCGAGCTCTATCTTTTCTCTGAGCTCTCTCTTCACCACAACAGACCAGTGCAGTGCCCCCATTATAGCAGTAGCCACACTGATCCGTTTATTGATCTGCCACTCCATTCTTCAAATTACTTTACATAAAAAATGAAAGTGTTCTCAGGGCTCAGAATATATTGTTTATAAATACATATACAGTGAACCCTCGCTATAACGCGGTTCACTTTTCACAGTCTCGCTGCTTCACAGATTTGCATCATGTATTGTTAAACTTTATTGTCAAACATATTAATGGTGGCATGTCGATTTATAAGGATCTTTTGGCCCAGAAGAAAAAAGAGCAACAACAACTACCGATAACTATGTTCTTCTCTCCAAAAAACACACCTGCACCGCAGGCTTTAGAAGAATAAAACGCCACAGAGCAGAGTCAGGACGCAGCGGCTCCGTCAGAACAGAAGTGAAATACTGTACTGTACATGTCAGTCACTATTTGTCCTACTGTACTTATTTTTTTCATAATAATTTTTCATTTTCTCCCGTTCCAATCCGTCACGGCGGGGCGGTGCTGATCCCCGCAATATTAACCCTTCATTTCGTTTTGATGATTAAAATTATTACTTATCTATTTATAACTATATTATTTTACAGTACAGTACAGTAGTTAACAACATTTATACCATACTTTTATTTGTTAAACAAATGCTTGGGCCTGTAAAAAGTTTTTGTTCCTTGATTTCAATGTTGTATAGAGTATTTCATTTTATAATAACTGTAAAAAAAATAAAGGTTTCTACTTCACGGATTTCACCTATTGCGGGTTCTTTTGGAACGTAACCCCTGCGATAAATGAGGGTTCACTGTAAATACAATAATATAAATGCACTCAATAGGAGATGCCATTTAGCGTTGCCAATTCAGATGGGAGTTGCAGAAAGGGGACAAGCTTGTCTAACAGGTTTGAATTGATATAGCTTCCTGGATGGGAAGCGAAATATCTTCAAACTTTGAAAACAAAGTCTAGAGGTTTGTTTTTTAACTTTGTTTTAAAAATTTCTTGGAACAGGTTTAACTTGTATCTGAAAATGGGTTTGTGATGTTAACCAGTGTTTATGTGATAAGACCTGCATGTGTAATACCAAATGTGACCACTGGAGGGAACCTGAGTCCCTTGGTATGTA